GCACAAGGATACTTTCCTCCATGAGCCTAAAATTTTATATTATAATTCAATTTATAAATATATTGTATATATTTATAAATTGATATTATTTATTGTATATATTTATATATTGACTGGGCAACTCATTCTATTATCTCCTAATGAGGGTACAGCTCTAAAACTCAGTTTTATGGTTCTGAGGCCGGCTGGTAGTCAGGTTTCCCGAACTCTGTGGTAGCTCTCAGAGAGGCTGATTCCATCAACAGCCGAAAAATATCAGAGTACTAACAGTGCCATGTTGCGCATGGATGGTGTCCCTGTTTGTACTTTTGGTGTGCATTGCAGAGGCCACATTTGGAGCCCTTTGTTACGGCTTAGGGTTTATTAATAGTAATGAGGATATTGCTTAGTTGTTAAATAGTGTACTGAGTACTATCTATACTTGAGTCAAGTTCTTTATAAATTTAAAATGACTAAAGTACCTAAAACTAAAAAACACAAAAAACCATCGTCATCACCAAGTTCTCTAAACCTATCATTTACTAATATTCGTGGTCTTGGAAGTAACTTTTCTTCTGTTGAGTCTTATCTCTTGCAAAGTTCACCAGACCTACTTGCTCTTTGTGAGACTAATTTGAGTTCGGCTGTCCCATCTTGTGATCTTAGTGTTGATGGTTATCTTCCTTTAATTCGTAAAGACTCCAATAATCACATGCTTGGCCTGGGCATCTACATTCGTAAGAACTCACCCATTTGTCGTGAAACTAGGTTTGAATCTACAGACTATTCATTTATGTGCTTTCGTTTAGCACAACTTCACTCTATCGCCTTTCTCTTTGTTCTATATCGCTCTCCTTCATCCCAAGATTGCACTATTCTTGATGTTATTTCTGATCAAATTGACCAAGCCCTCTCTCTTTATCCATCGGCCAATATTGTCGTTGTTGGTGACTTTAATGCCCATCACACCGATTGGCTTGGCTCTAGTGTCAGTGACTCTGCTGGCATTAAGGCCCTCAACTTTTGCCTTTCTCAATCTCTAACTCAAATAGTCAACTTTCCAACTCGTTTTCCAGACAACCCTAATCATTTACCTTCTCTACTCGACTTATGTCTTGTTTTGGATCCTAGTCAGTGCTCAATTTCTCCACATTCACCCTTAGGTACTTCTGATCACGGTTTGATCTCTCTAAAATTTTATCAAATTCTTCTACTTCATCAGAATCCCCCTATCACCGTACCACATATAACTACCTTAAAGCTGACTGGGACTCTTTCCGTGATTTTCTTCGTGATGGCCCTTGGGTAGAAATCTTTCGTCTTCCTGCTGACAAATGTGCTTCTTACATAACTTCGTGGATTCAGGCTGGCATGGAATCTTTTATTCCCTCTTGACGATTCCAGGTCAAGCCTCACTCTTCTCCTTGGTTTTCCTCACATTGCGCTGCAGCAATTTCTAATCGAAACCGTTACTTCCATATCTATCAGCAAAACAATTCTCCAGAAAACAGACATCTGTTCACTATCGCCAGAAACCATTGTAAAAAGGTTTTGTCTGACGCCAAAGCTCGCTATTCCCAGGTCATTAAATCTCGTATCTCATCACAAAAATTAGGCTCTCGAGACTTCTGGAGAATCTTTAACAGTATCAATAATAAGGGCAAATCTGTTATTCCTTCTCTCTTGTATGGTTCAGACTTTGTCACCTCACCTAAAGACAAAGCTGAATTGTTTGCTAAGAACTTTTCATCAATATCATCTCTTGATTCCACTAGTTGTGTTTTACCTGACATAGCCGTCAAACAGGTTGATCCCTTGCTTGACATTCGCATCACTTCAGCTTCTGTATCTAAAGTAATTTCCTGCTTAGACTCTTCAACAGCTTGTGGTCCTGACAACATTCCTGTTGTAGTCTTGCAGAGGTGTTCTCCGGAGCTTTCATCCATACTTTCTAAACTATTTAACAAGTGCTTATCAGAGTCTTGTTTTCCATCATGCTGGAAAGCAGCATCTGTTATCCCTATTTTCAAAAATTCCGGAGAGCGATCTGATTCATCTAACTACCGTCCCATTAGTCTTCTTCCTGTCATAAGCAAGGTTTTTGAATCTTTAATCAATAAATACTTAATCTCTCATCTTGAATCAAATAACTTACTTTCTGATCATCAATATGGATTTCGGTCTTTTCGTTCTACAGCTGATGTGCTAACAGTAATAACCGATAGGTTTTACCGTGCATTAGATAGAGGTGGAGAGGTTAAGGCTATCGCACTTGACATTTCTAAAGCTTTTGATAAAGTTTGGCATGCTGGTCTTCTCCATAAGCTTTCTTCTTATGGTGTAGCTGGAAACGTCTTTAAGATTATTGAGTCCTTTCTTTCCAATCGTAGTATAAAAGTTGTCCTCGATGGACAACACTCTTCTTCACATCCTGTAACTTCAGGGGTTCCTCAAGGTTCAATCCTTGGCCCTATACTCTTTTACCTTGGCCCTATACTTTTTATCTGGAAGATCGTTAATTTACATTAACGATCTTCCAGATATTCTCACATCTAAGGTGGCATTATTCGCTGACGACACTACCATTTACTCTTGTCATGACAAGAAGCCTACACTCTCTGATTGCTTGGAGGGGGTATCTGAGCTTGAAAAGGGTCTCACTTCTGCTACAGCATGGGGCTCACAGTGGCTGGTGAACTTTAATTCAGATAAAACTCAATTTTATTCGGCCAATCGTTATCGTAATAATTTAGATCTTCCTATATTTATGAATGGTAATGTACTAGATGAGTCATCTACCATTCATCTTCTAGGATTAACTCTTACTTCTGATCTTTCTTTTAAACCGTATATCAAATCCATTGCAAAATTAGCATCTGCTAAGGTTGCATCTCTTTATCGAGCTCGACACTTTCTTACTCCAGATTCTATTCTCTATCTCTATAAATCTCAAATCCGTCCCTGTATGGAATACTGTTGCCACATCTGGGGCGGATCTTCTAACAATGCTCTTTCTCTTTTAGACAAGGTGCAAAAACGAATTGTAAACATAGTTGGACCTGCTCTGGCAGCCAATCTCCAACCTTTGTCACATCGTCGTAATGTTGCTTCTCTTTCTCTTTTCTACAAATACTATAATGGGCACTGCTCTAAAGAGCTAGCGCCCCTTGTGCCATCTACTAAAATTCATTCTCGTGTTACTCGCCATTCAATTAAGTCTCATCCTTTTTCTGTGACTGTTCCTAAGTGCTTCAAAAACTCTTATTCTTCTAGTTTTTTTCCTCAAACATCAGTTCTTTGGAATTCGCTTCCTTCATCTTGCTTTCCTGATTCATATAATTTGCAATCTTTTAAGTCATCAGTCAATCGTTATCTTGCTCTACAGATTTAGTCTTTTCTCTTCCAGTAACTTCCAACTCTTATAGTAGTTGCTTGCAGCCTTGTTGGAAGTGAAGATGTTAAAAAAAAAAAAAAAAAAATATTGTAGGGTAAAAAAAACTTTTTCCTAATATAGTTTTTACCATGATATGTCTTATCTTAAAATTATTTAAAACAAACACACCGAAACTCCTAGCAATATGTTGATTAACTTTATGTCAGAAGCCAATGAGTACTTGCATTCATGCAACTTAAATCTTTCCACAATCATTGTCATGTTAGAATGATTTTCACTTACCTTTTCACAATAAGCTAAAACAAGTGACGTATTTGCTCTTGAGTATGATCCTAAGGAGCTGCTATTTTCTGTCCTGTTCTTGGTTGGATCAAACAGATTTACTATAACTTTCAATGATCTTCCACCTATAAATATATATATACTTACACACATACATATTTGTATATAAATATGTACAAATAATTTTTTTAAAAACAAGTTTTCAAAAAGACAATTATTAAATATAATAAGTAATATAAATTAAATAAATTAAATATAAATACCTGAATCTATTCCAACCTTTACAAATGTGTTTTGTGGAACCTGCCCTCGATATTTCATTACAAAATTCAGAAATGTTGTAATATCTTCAATATATACTAAGCATAGTCATTATCTTTTTCCTATTCTTGAAAGTCTAATAATTCAGTGACATAAAAGTTGGAAAGTAGTTTACTTTTTTCATCCAGGGCTTTCTCCATGTTTGACTTAAACTTTACACCGCTTCTCCTCAAAGTTTTTAACATTTCATTTGACTTCAATTGACTAAGTCCTAAAGTATTTACCAAAACTTCTACTTTATTATAAGGAATCTTTCTCTGGTCACTTTCCCGAGTACTGAGTGTAATATGAATACTTTTACCTCCTTAATATAATATAAAATGTTATTTTAAGAACGTACATAACAGCTATTTTTATTTAACAATATTTTACCTGTTCTGAGAATGGCTTGAGCTCCTAGACTTTGCTTTTGATCAGAATAAATTTTTAAATTAATATTTTACCTATATTGTTCACAATCCTTATATATACAACCTTCAAACTCAATTTAATCTACTAATATTTACACTTATAAATGTTTGTACATAACGCTATGGAATTCTTACATAGCGTTTTTACATAGCGTGATTTAGTTAATTTACATGGTCACATGATTTAGTATATTAAGTAAAATGTGTTTTTAAGTCATTTTATAGTATAAAGTATGTTTGCTTATTTTTTTAAATCTATAAAATTATTGGATATTATATGATTAATACTATAAAATTGCTGTATATCATTATCTTTATATATTTGTTTTAATATTATTTTGTTTTAATAGTGATTTATGGTATTTCATTGATACACTAGTCTTTTTAGTTATTTTTATTAAGCTTACATGTTTTTCAGAAGTATTGCATTTCTGTACTTTCAGAGGTATCCTCTGCTACAATATTAATTGCTTTTCACATTTAAAAAAATTTAAAACAATTTCTAAAATTTTAATAAAAGCATATATGTTTTACAATTTTTGTATTTTGTACAATTATTGTAATTTGAAATATATTATAGTTTAAAGCATTTTTTTATTTAAAATTTTTTTCAGAAATTTCAACAATATCTCTTTACAAACTCCCTAGAAGAGTATGGCAAGGAAGGTTAGTCCCAAAATGGTTTAACAATAATTGGCGTGAAATTTTAATCAATAGTAAAAACAACATTGTTACAAATGGAAAAAATGATGGTTTTGAATCAGAATATCATAACAAATCTGCTCTTCCTGAATCTACAGTTACATCACAAGTAGTTACATCACAAGTAGTTACATCACAAGTATATATTTTTTTCAGTTAATTTCTTCCATTCTTGTTACAAGGGTACCACAAGGTCCCATTTTTTATATATAAATAATCCTACTGACAATCTTTTAAGGAGCTCTATTTGTTAGCTATTTAATGCTAATAGGCATAACAATATTGTTATCTTAACTGTATTTACCTCCTGTGGACCACTACAGTTAAGGAGGTTTGTCTCAGAGTTCTGTCCTCTCTCATCTATTTAAATCTGAAATACAATTCTTGATGAAGCAAACAATAAGTCTTGATGAAGCTAAAAGTCTTGATGAAACAAACTAAAAGTCTTGATGAAACAAATTTAAAGTCAAATATTATCTGTTGACCAGCCTTGCACCCCTTCTTCATCTATTAGGCTGGCACAGATGTATTTTTAATACATTTTTTCCAGTTTAGAATGTTGAATGCTGGATCTTCTTGACTCAATGCATGAGTTTTGCTTGTGTCTCTGTATTTATGACTAGGTTACTCATTCTGTTAACTTCTGAGGGTACAGCTCTAAAACTCAGTTTTATGGTTCTGAGGCTGGCTGACAGTCAGGTTTCTCGAAATCTGTGGTAGCTCTCAGAAAGGCTGATTCCATTAATAGCTGTAAAGTATCAGAGTGCCATGTTACGCCTGGGTGTAAATTTTATTTATTTTGAATAATCTGAAAAATAAAAAAGAATAATTAAATAATTGTTTCTAGGGATGGCAAAAATCTCGAAAATTTTCAATCCCGGGATTTTGGGATGGAAAAATTTGTCCCTGGGAAACCCTGGGATTGAATAGAAAAAAACGCAAACGCAATTGAACACTTTTTAAGCACTCATCAAACACTTAAAAATGATTAATTTAATGATAATATAAATAAAATATTAAATACATTAATGAACCTCTGAAATTAAGTTGAATCATGTTTTTACTTAATTTTGTATTAAAACTTATCTAAGACTTTTGAAAATTAATATAACCTAAGTATTATAAATTATAAAACGATACCTTATAATGGTAGCACAGTATAAATAAAAATAAAAATTAAAAAATAATATAAAAATGTATGACGTTAAAAAAAACTTTCATAAATCACTAATTTAAAAATTGAAATGAATGGATATAAAAATGGAATTAAAATCGCACATACTTTTGGAAGCAGAAAATTCAAAATCAAATTAATGTTTACCTTTTATTAAAAACTCTTGCTCTTTTTGCCAGCAAGCGCTTAAATTTTATTTATTTTTAAAATATACTAGTTTTAATATTATACTATATATTATATATAGTATAGTATTAAAATAATATAAATAACAAAAATATAAGCGCTTGCTTGTGGATAGAGCAAGAGTTTTTAATAAAAGTTATACATTAATTTTATTTTATTAATATATTTTTAATTTTAATTATATATATATATATATATATATATATATATATATATATATATATATATATATATATATATATATATATATATATATATATATTTATAGACATATATATAAACATATATATAAACATATATATCTCAACTTGTTTCTCCATGCAGCGGCCTTGTTCGTCAAGGTTCATGTTTCGGAGTTATAGAGTTGAGAGAGGGTTGTAACCACTATTAAGTAGCTTGTCTGTAGTGGCCTTCTCGGCCTTGAGGAGGTGAATAACAAAAAAGTATATATATATATTTATATATATATATATATATATATATATATATATATATATATATGATTATATATATATATGATTATATATATATATATATATATATATATATATATATATATATATATATATATATATATATATATATGATTATATATATATATATATATATATATATATATATATATGTGATTATAGATATATATATATATATATATATATATATATATATATATATATATATATATAATATATATATATATATATATATATATATATATATATATATATATATATATGTATATATATATATATATATATATATATATATATATATAAACATATATTTTATATAAACATATATTTTATATAAACAAATAAGTTTATATATATATATAAACATATATTTTGCAGAAAAGCAATGTTTTGAGTTTTTTTTTTGATAAAATACAGAAAAGTAGAGTTTTAAAAGGAAAACATTGCAACGAGAATAAATAATTACACAACCAAACAGCTACTATACCAAAGACGATATAAAAATTACTAAACTACAATTATAAGCTTGAACTTTATTAACTTTTCTTTTTTTTGATGATCTTGAAATCCCGGGAAATTTTGGAGATAAATCCCGGAATTTCAAGATGAACAATTTGTACAAAATCCCGGGATTTCGGGATCCCAGGATTGCCGTCCCTAATTGTTTCTAATTAAATAAAAATAATTGTTTTTAATTGCAAAAACTCAACATAAATAATTTTTAGGTCTCCTTAACATGAATAACTTTTAAGTCTCCTCAACATGTACGATTTTTAAGTCTCCTCAACATGTACGATTTTTAAGTCTCCTCAACATGAATGATTTTTTGCAAATTATCATTTTAATCATTTTAATCATGTAAATAAAAATGAATAAAATAAAATAAACCATATATGGAAAGTTTTTAAAAGTAATTGCCTTGTGTGTATATTTTAATAGTAGATTGTATTTTTATTTATATTTTTTATAAATAAAGAAATATATATTTTTCTTATATTTTTTATAATAAATAACTTTCTGTAGTTATCAGCTATTGACTAAAAATTGAAAGTATAAAAAAATTAAAAATATAAAAAATTGTTTGCAGTAGAATAAGAAATTAAAAAAGATAAAAATAAATGAAATAAGAAAATAAGAAAATGATTTTTGAAATAAAAAGTTAGAATTCATTGAAGATTGTTAGAGTATCCTGATATTGAAGATTACTCCAAATGTGGAAAGAAAGAATTAGTTTGAATGACTTTTATTGAGCAGGTTGTTTTCATTGTTCAATGAAATTTTAGTTTTTTACAGAGGCAGTGATGCATAACTATTCTTTTAAAGATATCTTTAGAAATTTTTAGTTTTTGACTGAATTAATTTTTATTCTCCTGTGAATAAAAAAAGATTTAAATAAAATTAAACAAATTTTTTAAAACTCAAAACATTTTTCAAAGCTCTTTTTTAATGCATCAATAAAATCTATTTATAATCTTATCCAAATACTCTAAGTCTTGTCAAAAAGTAATGAATAAAATTTTTTAACTTTGAATTTTCCTGTTTTTATTCTCAACATTTACGTTTGAGATATTTGGTGTAGTTTTCACAAAAGTTTATAATATTTTTAATCTTAAACATAATGAACATAATTAAATATCTTTAACATAATGAACATTATAACTATTTTTTTTTTTTAACTATTCACTTCCCCAAGGCCCAAAGGGGCCACTACAGTCGAGGAGGCTACTCTTTTTTATTTTTTTTTTTGTTGTAAATCGTGGTACAACCCTCTCTCAACTCTTTAACTCCGAAACACAAACCTTGACAAGCAAGACTGCTGTGCAGAGAAGAAGTTGAGCGCGGTACTTCCAGGGACGTGGTGGGAGTCAAACTCCGAAACTCTCGCTTACAAAGCAAGCGCTCTTACCACTACACCACTACCGCATCTATTTGTGACAATTAATTAACTGTAAACAGTCACAAAAAAATAGGAGAAATTTTTTTATTTATTTTAACTTTATTTAAAAGCAGTTTTTTTTAATTAAGTCCAGTAATAAATTTTTAAAACTATTTTAGTTTAGCCCAGAACGACAGAATTAGTTGTAGTGTTAAAATTTTTCTTTTTTTAAAGTTCATTTTTATTTTGACAATTTATTCTGGTTTTTAAATTTGTTGGGTGATGATCAAGTTGTTCATTCATTTACGGTATGATATTTTGTTATAAAAATAGTGTTTTTATAAACACTTTTAAAGCATATAAAGTAGTTTCATAGAATATATATTTTATAATTTATATGTTTTATATGTTTATATGTATGCTGACAGGGCCTATTCTAGGAAAAAAATTTGGGCGGCGGTAACCTTTCATTTTGGCGGACTTTAGCGGAAAATCGGCATTTTTTTTGCAAAAAAAAAACAATATTTGCCGTAAAAGCGTTAAAAAAAAAGGTTTTAAAAAAAAAAAAAGGTCCTTAAATTTTAATTTGGGCAGCGCCTCAATACGGTCGGCGCTGTCGAAAACAGTCTAGAATAGCCCCTGGCTGATTTTCTGATTCATAGATTAAGATTAAGTTAAGTTCATTTTGTATCTCTGTGGTGTCAAAATTATCCTTGCATAAATGTTTGCTGCATTGCAAATACATTGGATGCATGAACTTGCATTTAAGAACTTTGTTCATGAACTATTGTTCATACTTTAGGTACCAGATAATAACGCAGTTCTTTACAAAACAGACTAATAGCAATTTAAATCTGTGTTTTTGTGTTGTATATAAAACAGTCATCCTTGTTTTAATGTTTATTCAATTTAGTTGCAGCTGCTGTTTCTAGAATGTTTAATAAGTTTTTAAGTGTTCAATAGTATTCAATAATATCTGGAAATTGATGAAATTTAAAATTTAACAACACCACTGATATTAGACACTTATATCAGTGGTAACTGACTTATTTTTTATGTAGTTTTTAATTGCAATACTACTTTCTAGTTTCGATATAAATTAGCTGAATCCACTGAAAATAGTTAAATGTTTAAAAATAGTTATAAATTGCAAGATTACCCTTAAACAAAGTAGTTTTAATATTGACTAGTTACTGCATTATTACTTCATAATTACTGCATAGTTACTGCATAGTTATATCATAGTTACTGCATAGTTACTTAATACGTTGCGTATGGAAGACGAGTATACTCGTTGAACGATCATACATAGAGACAAAGAGTATATTTGCTTGACTTTAAATGCTAATAATATTTTATTCTTTAAAATTGCTTTCAAATCTGTTTTTTTTTTAATTTATCAGTTTAGTTTTGGAGTGAAAATATATATT